TCCACTCCATCCGCCTCCTTTGCGCGTTCCAGCGGCTCCGCGGGCGCGGTGGGAGAGGGCGCCGCAGGTTTTGGCGCCCACCACCAGGCGTCTTGGCGCCCCTCGCCCGGTCGCCCCGAGAAATCCTCGGAAATGCCCCAAGGGTGTCAGGCACCTGGAGCCTCCATCCCGCCTGCTGTTCTGCCCGAAATAGCATTAGTTATCGCTGATGGCTTGCTTTCCTTTATTTTTATTATTACTATTATCACTGTGACTACTATTATTACTTCCTGATCTTTTCCCTTTCCTCTTTCCTTTCCCTTTATTTATGTTCTTTTTATTTATTCTATTTATAAGGAGACAGGCTTTGACAGCCCCGGCCAGCAGACGCAGGCCACCGTCCCCAGCAGCGCAGCAGCGGGTTTGGCACCTCGAGCAGCGGCGGCACCCGCGTCCCCGTGTGTGCCCCGGCATGTCCCCCCTTCCCCGCGCAATGCGGAGCGGCCGCCTCCCCCAGGGCCGCTGTCACCTCCGGAGGAAAAATGCGCTGGAGAAAGAGTCTGTGTTTCCAGACAGAAATTAACAGCTAAATAAAAAAAAAAAAAAAAGAGAGAGAGAGAGAGAGAGAGAAATAGAAAAGTTTATAAGGCCATGATGGGGGGTTATTTTTATCCTGATAGGAAAAAAAAATTACTATCGCTCAGTACATCTGTGATTCCGCACGAGCCTGTGGAGTTCACATGATTATAGAGTCAGGGGAAGAGGCGTGATTTATAAACCGAAGAGTTTGTTTTAGCAGTGTTGGTGTTACCGATATTTTTAATTTCACTCAGAAATATGAAATGATTCTAGAAGCAGAAAATAAAGCCCGAAGCAGCTTTTCCCCCCTAGTTAGTTTTTTTTCCCTTTCCTTTTTTTTTCTTTCTTTCCCTCTTTCTTTTTTTTTCTTTTTTCTTTTTTTTTTCTCTCCCTCTGTACTGTCAATACTAGGAAATGTTTTTCGGTATCAATGCTAGGAAATATTTAACACATTTATATTAGAATCTCCACGGAGATGTGTTGAGAGACAATTACTCAATATTTCAGCAGTTTTACCCGCCGGTTAGGCATATCAAGTGCCAAAAAAAAATGTGAAGTGAGAAATATTTCTCCTCCTCCCCTTTTATATATACACGCACTTTAATATACTTACATATGCACTTGCAAACACGTGAGTCTGTGTGTGTATATACGTATATTTGTGTATAAATATATATGCAAACCTGCACGTGGATTGATAAATGCGCGTGGAGAATTTTATATTTGAGTATGCATATATTTATATATGTACACACTCCACTATTTATATATAAAGGTATACTCGTGTGTATCTATAAAAACACGCTACATATTTATATAGTTATATAAATAGTAATTATGTATGCACATACATATATATACATATATAAAACGCGGGTGTATATATATATATATATATGGGGGTTATGTGTTTCTATAGACTTGTGTGTGCGCACACACGTGCTTTAGCTGTGCTTGTGAGGAGCCCCCCGAGTTTCCTGGAGGGGAGCTCGGCCCGGGTGCCTCGCTCCTCGTCGCCCGCCTCGGGCACCGACAGGGACTCGCCGGAGCCGCTGCTCAAGGCGGACGCGGAGCACAAGGAGCTGGACTCCAAGAGCGCCGACGAGATCGTGCTCGAGGAGAGCGACTCGGAGGAGGGCAAGAAGGAGGGCGGCGGCGGCGAGGACTGGAAGAAGCGCGAGGAGAGCCCCGAGAAGAAGCCGTGCCGCAAGAAGAAGACGCGCACGGTGTTCAGCCGCAGCCAGGTCTTCCAGCTCGAGTCCACCTTCGACGTGAAGCGCTACCTGAGCAGCTCCGAGCGCGCCGGCCTCGCCGCCTCGCTGCACCTCACCGAGACGCAGGTGAAGATCTGGTTCCAGAACCGCCGCAACAAGTGGAAAAGACAGCTGGCCGCCGACCTGGAGGCGGCCAATATCTCTCACTCGGCCCAAAGGATAGTGCGGGTGCCCATCCTCTACCACGAGAACTCGCCGGCGAGCGCCCTGGGCTTCGCCTTGCCTCATATGTCGCCCCCCTTGGTGGGCTTTTCTAATGCCGTCACCTACCCCTTGGGCACCTTCCCCGCCGCCTCGCTGCCCTTCCTACGGTCGCAGATGACAGGACTCGTCTGAGCGCCCGCCTGCGCCAGGGCCGCTGTCCCCTCGCCAGGCTTTCAGCTCTACCCCTTGCCTCCCCGAACTTTTTATTTCCATCACACATTTCTCGAGTTTCTGCTTTTTTTGACTTTTTTTTTTAACGTGCAATAAGTTTACTTTGGGGTAACTCGAAACAAACAAACGAAAAACAAGACAGCAGAAGGAGAGAAAGGAGGACTACAAGAACCCTCGCGACGTGCCGACAGCTGCTCCGTCAGGGTCTCTGCTGGTTACACATCCAAAGAAAATGCAGCCCCTTGGCAACGGTGCGTCCCTGGGCCCCGCACGCCGCACTCCGCAGGAGCTTCATACCCCTCGGGTTACAGAGAGTTTCCTTCCTCGCGGCCTCGCGACGAAGCCGTAGCTACATCCCACCCCGCAGAGCTGGCCGAGTATGAGACGAATGTAAAGGCCTCGGCTGGGAAACGGGGCCCGGAGCCATCGAGGAGCAGGGGGAAGGGGCTGCAGGTGTGAGCAGGGAGAAGTCTGTCACTCCAAAGAGCGTCCGCAGCCGGCGCCGCAGCTCTGGGCCCGGCCCTGCAGCCGGTGAGAGCCCGTCGCTCCCCGAGGCTCCGGCAGCGCCTTCGATGGAGCCTCTCCCCCCCGCCACAGTGTTGCCATGCGTGGCATTTCCACGCCATCCACCCCCAAGCATGAGCCGCTGCCCCGCGGCCCTCAGATCAGGCTGCTTTCAGATTTTTGAAACAACGTGAAGGCAACTGGAGAAGATGAATTCGCCCCTCTGAAACCCGAGCTGCGAGGATTTGGTTTCTTTGTTTTCGTTTTATTTCCCTAACGAGCTACCAACTAAAATACAGGATGAAAAGGAAAAAAAATAATAATCTGCACACAATGTTTTAACAGCTGGATTTGCCACGTATTTGTGTCTCCTGACGAGGCTGAGGAAAACACAGTAGAGCTTTTCTCTCTCTTACGGGATCGGTTTATGTAATCGATTGATAGTCCGCACTGGCAATTAAAAAGAAAAGCAAGAAAAATAATCAGGTGGCGACAGGCTGGGGAATTGTATGGCTAGTTATGCAATCTAAACTGTAATGTGATATTATATGAAGTATTATGCATGCCAAGCTATTTTTTTTCTTTTTTTTTTTTTTTTAATTCTCCCCTCCCCCCTTTCTATTCGCTGCTAAAACTAATACCGGGTCAATTACTATTTCTAACGGTTTGAATTTATGTACCCGAATATTAAGAGGGGAAAAAAAAAAAAAAAAAGACCTTGTAGAACTCAGCCTTGGTGGGAGGTCAAGTTTTGATCGTACGTTCTAGGGCATAATCAGATGTAATTTAACCGACCAGCTCGGAGCACTGGCTGTCCCTGCAGGGAGAGCTAGATGGTGGATCCGTAGGGCTATGTGCGTGCGGACCTTTCCCCGGTGAAGGAAAATAAATCTAATCGTTACTATTACCTACGGTCTGAATTATATTTGGAGCGATTTCACGCTTCCTTGCTATTAATTCGGTCGGCGAGATGCAGCAGAGCTTAAACTTTGATACAAAATTTGAAAGAAGGGGCAGTGACGGATTACAACCCAACCTCTCAATTGCTTTTTTTTTTTCCTCTTCGGTCTGAAACACGGCTCTGGGCATCAGGCTGCGCAGTTGCAGTCAAGACGCTGAAAGCCTCAAAAACACTCGAGAATGAAAAATATGTATTTATATATATATTCGGTGTTCCTGAGAAAAGTGCTAACTTGTCGGGACGCTTCTTTCGACTCGGAACGATGCAGAGCTCGGAGTTGCGTTTCAACTGCTCTTAAAAATAATAATCACCACCTTGTGTGACACCAGCAGACCTTCGCCAACCGTTTTGCTTGCATATCAGTTAAAAATCCAGCTTTGGGGCGAAAGCTGCTAAAACTGGGGGATGTGCTACAGAGAAGGGAGCGAGGATGGGGGAGCGGGGAGGCTCGGGCTCGCAGCCCCCTCGTGTCGGTGCCTCTAGAGGTGACCAGGACAGCCCGTGTGGGAACTGCGCCTTCCAATGGGCCAAAGACTTGGCTTCGAGCAGGATTTCCCCCTCCTGGTGCCCAGCTCCTGAGCTGGCACCCTTGAGAGCGACTGGAAAAACGCGGCCAGGCGTTTCCCCCTTCATATCCTTACCGGAGTGAAAACCTGACTCGCAGCCACCATATCGGAGCAGACTGTCAACCATCCTCACACGCCTGCCACGCTCCACATGCCTTTTCTTTGGAGTAACATATGAGATTATCGCACTTCTGATTCTACTAAATATTCTTTTTTGAAGTAACGGAACTGGCAGGGCTAAATGATCAATCGGATTTTTAAATTGTGTTTTGAAATTAGTTTGTTTGTTTTTTTAAAGACGTGCTGATTATATCAATAAACAGATTTTTTTTCATACACTGTATTTGTAACTTATGATCGTAGTAAAAAAATTTAAAAGGTACAAGATGACGTGAATTCTTCTAAGAAAAAGTGCTTACTTATGCCTTATTCTGTACATGCAGACACTGCTTCATAGTGGATTATTAAAAGTATGTACTGAAAGTGGGAACATATACACCTTAGGTTTCTTTACCTCGTAGCTCTTCTAATGGTCTTAGTCGTTGTTCCTGAGGTCAAGAGCATTCTGCAGGATTCAGAGAAACACCCAGCAGAAGACATAGCCACTGAAAAACTGCCATTTATATTGATACGCTGACGACTTTAAAGCGGGCTAAAAAGAAAAAGAAAAAAAAAACACAAATCAAGGCAACATATCTCTCGCAGTTTTATTGCCTGTATATATTTTTATTAAACATATTAATGAGGTAAGAGTCAGGCTTTGCATTTCCGCAAATAGATATTTTTGAGGAAAAACGTTGGTGGAGCTCTAAGTACTTTCGCGAAGGCTGCTTGTGACATATAGAGACATACGTTGTTGCTTTATAGATCAAAGAAACCTCAGAATAGCTTTAAAATAAATCCAGTTATACTACAGCTGTAATATTATTATGCAGCATAAATCCTTGTCTGTTGACATTTATTTAATGAATGTTGCTACAACAGCTTAGCTAGATGGCACTCCAGAGGCGAAGCAAAGGAAAAGCTTGCCAGACTGCTTGCAAAGATAACGTGTGTGTGTTGGATGTTAATAAAAATAATTAGTGGGAGAGAAAAAAAAAATCTAAGCAAACCGAGCGAAAATCAAAATACTGTCTGAACTGACCTTCTGAAATAAATTCTTGGTGTAGCTGCAGCCAGATGTTATTATTAATTACACTTTGAATGAGGATAGTCAATATGTTGAAAAGTACCTTGTTAAATGGCTATTTTGCAAATGGTATGGTATATTGCTCGCCGGATTAAGATGGCATTTCTCATAGGCAGGGGTCTAAAATATTCATGCAAATCAATGCTTGATAAATCTCATAGGTGCGCTCTGGCTCCACAGACGAACAATATATTTGGATCGATTTTTTTATACTGCATTATCTTAGACTAGGGACTGTCTCTCTTTCTGTCTTTCTGTCTTTCTGTCTTTCTTTCTGTCTTTCTTTCTCTCTTTCTTTCTCTCTTTCTCTCTCTGTTTCTCTCATTCTCTCTCTCTTTCTTTCTTTCTTTCTCTCTTTCTCTCTTTCTTTCCTCCTTTCTTTCCTTCTGTCCTTCTGTCCTTCTTTCTTTCCTTTTCTTTCCTTCTTTCTTTCCTTCTCTCCTTCTTTCTCTCTCTCTCTCTCTCTCTCTCCCCCTCTCCTTTCTCTCTCTCTCTTTTTCTTTCTTTCTCTCTCTCGTTCTCTCCTTCTCTCTCTCGTTCTCTCTTTCTCTCTTTTTCTTCTTTTTCTCTGTAAACATGTGAGCCTGGTGGAGTGTGCACTGCGGTCTCGTCATCGTTTGGAGACTTGCTCCAGCACTTCCAGTGTATTTGAGGTATTTAGTGCTCTCTGTCTGAAATTAGATCCAGGCAATGTTAATGGCGCATTCCCAGTGATAGTGACTTTACGGAGAAGTTCTCAGTGCTTCATTTAACTGTCCTGAGGTTCTCAAGTGTTCTTACAGATCTAATGTTTTGATTTGTATGTAAGGAGATACATGAGTACATGCTGCTCTGAAAATCCTGATATAGGTCTGAACTTTAAGATCTCTGTCTTCCCTTAAAAAATCTAGTCTCCCGAGCAGCTGATAATTAATTGCCTTTTTTTTTTTTTTTTTTTTTGGGGGAGGGGGGTTCTAGGGTCTTTAACCTCACGCCTCTGGAATCAGGTGCAGAGGTTGCAGGAAGGCGACTTAGCCGCGGACTTTGCATTGACGCCGGGGCGAGACGGAGGATCGTGGATCGTAGCTCCGACTAAGTCCTGGGCAGAGAAACTGTAAAGACTTTCATGACTTGGCTGACTCCACTGCATTAGGTTCTTCATCGTCAAGGGCTCTAAAAGGCAGAGGGGGCCTATTTAACGGTGAAGGACCTCAGGAAATTAACCCACCTCAGATACCTCCCTCAAGCAAAGCCGCCCTCTTTCGTCTTTCTCTAGAATCTGATTAGAGTTCATTGCAATCAAATTTAGTAGAAGACTAAATAAGAGTAGAAGACTCTTTCTACCTTGGGCTAAAGGGAAAATAAAGGTATGTGCACCAGGAGATTTTTGGTAAAAGCTTTCCCAGGATTCAGCTTGATGTTAGCTGCTATTACAGGAGTGTGTCAGTGGAAAAATGAAGGAAAAAAAAAGTTTCGTTTTTGCTGAGCCGCTGCTGGGTGTCTCAGGGCTCTGCGGAATGTCACACCTGGCGACGGGAAGATTTAAAGATTTAAAGGGAAATAAAGTGCAGTATCTAAAAGACCCTGTGCTGGAGGCCTCTAACGACCCTAAGAAAAATGCTTTCGAGCGAAGCGATGATGCGCCTCGTCCGACGGCCTCTTGGAGCCTGGAGATCGACTAGCGTGGGTACGGAGAGGTGCTGCTGGGGGAGCAGACCCCCGTTCCTCCTCGAAGTGACTCCGGGAGGGTTCCCTTGGATTTTTTTTGGCGAGATTTATGGCAGAGGCTCCCGCTGCCCCCGGGCTCCTGCGCCGGGAGTAGATCCAGAGGCAGCCACGGCGGGAGCGGGACGGTGCTGCCCACTGGGCAGCTGCTGCTTCGCGCTGGGTTGCAGGCGGTACCCAGGCCTGCTCCGCACCGCCGCGTTTGCGGTACTGCGGCCGGGGTGCAAAAATAAGCCGCGACTCCTTCCTTATTGGCCTTCCTATTTATTTTCTGTCCTTTTCGAGTTTCAAGGAAAAGTCTTTTAAGGAAACGCACTCAGGAGACAGAGTTTTATTTTTTTTTTAAGATGGATTTTGCAGGACTAAAAGGGAGCGAGACGGATGCGAGTACCCTGCGTGTACCCAGCTCACGCCTTTCCAGAAGCGGGAAAGGACGCCGAGGTATCTGCTGGGTTCCAAACCAGCACGAACTGTGCTCAAAGTCCCTCATGCCCCAACTTTTACTAGCCGACACTGAATTTCTGAATTGTCCCTTCCGCCCCTTCTTCGCAGTTCTAACTGACTGTCCCTTCTCCTGTCCTATCGCTACCTCCGAATGGGACATTTCGCCCCATTGGGAGTTCTGCTTTGTGCAGATTACAAGGCAAACCAAACACGTTAGGATTTATAGCCAGTGAGTGTGTTAATGGAAGATATGTATATATATATTCGCCAGGAAAAGTGCAGTTCTGCAGTAGACAGCTGCATTAAAATCTGAGTGCTTTTATCAAGAGAAATTATTTTTTCTTTCCATGAAAACAGCTGAAACCTGCTCTCCCAAGAACCAGTGTATTCCAAAACCGTCAGATGTCCTGATTTTAGCTCACGACATCCATGATATCGCAATATTTAAGATCCTGACAACACCTCTACTGTCAACCCTTCTTAAAGGGTTTATCGCTACTTCTCAGCATTTTTTCGTGATTGAAACTTCCAGTCTTGGACGAGAAGGCCTCCTAAAAACCAGTTAACAGCTTTCCGGGGGGCATGGGGAAGCAAACTCTTTCATGCGCCTCTTTCCTCAGAAGTGATGCCGACTCTAGTTTAGCAGCACTCGCAAGCTTAAAAAAAAAAAAAAAAAAAAAAAAAATCTCCCTTCTCCCGAGGGACACCTCTCATACTCACTTTATAGGTAGGAGGGGGTGAAGGGGCCATAGGGGCGCTCCTGGTGACAGAAAGCTCGTTTTCTCACCATCCTCCTAAAACAGCACGGGGAATTGGTAGCAGTGATTGTCATCAAGCTGCGGCCCTGCTGGCTCCCACATTTCTTTCTCTCTCTCTCTCTTTTTTTTTTCCTTTTTTTTTTTTTCCTGTCCCCTTCTCTCTCTCCATCATCGCTCTGATGCTCCTTGCACGGCCCCAAACTCATCCACCACTCCCTTGACTTCTACACGTCCCGCCTCTCCTGTTTCCCAGTTCTCCGTTACTCTCTCCTGACTTCTCATCCACTCTGTCCAGTATCTTTCTTTCTTATCTACTTTTCCCAGCCCTCATTGGATGACTGTTCCTTCTCACTGCCATCCCCGCCTCCACCACACCGGGATCCTCTGCACTGTATCTCCTCTCCACCTTCCTGCTCGCTCGTCTTCTCCCAGACCGCTTCTCTCTCCATCCCGGACCACATCCCCGCCGTTCTTGTTCCCAGGCCTCCCTCTTCATCCTTATCTCCCCCCTTCACCTTGCCCCGAGAAATTCCAGTCCCACCTCCTCCCCACCGTTTCCCTTAATCCCTTCCCTTGGCAGCAGAGGCACCTCCCCAGCCTGAG